CTGCTGCTGTGTCCTGCACGGTGGGTATCACTGCTAGCTCCTTCACTGGTTTATCTGGATGCTAATGTGTGACTGCAATCGGCCCTCAGGGGAAGACCCTTATCATTTAAATTGAGGATATTCTTAGCAAAGCAGGTTTCACAGGATTTAATGCATTCTTTCTTAGGCCTGATTGCCCTGGGAAAACTGCCCATTCCAGCACAGGGCCACACCCACCTCGAGTATTGTTTTAGGCTTAAACCAGGCAGCCAAGAGATTAGGAGGCTTTTTCCAGATAGAATGAAGACTCAGGTTATGACAAAGCCAAGGAGTGAAGGTACGTCACCCCTTTTCTACAGACCCTCAAGCCCCTTCATGACTGTGCCTGTCTTAGGTCATCCCTCACTTGAGGAATCTTACCCATCACTGGCTAACCAGTCATCTGCTTGGGGCAAAATAGGGTGAAGTAAAGGGGGCAGAGGCTGCGCCCCTGCTGGGAGGATCAACTTTCTCTCCTTAGTGGTTTATGCTCCCAAGGTCTTTTTACTCAGCCTTAGCCATGGGTGGTTACAGCTTCTGAAACCAGGCAGGATGGTTCCCAACAAGAGACCAGCAGAGCAGGTGATGGACACAGTCTGTCAATGTCAACTAGCCGTGATGCTGGGGCTCCAGGTGACAAGGACTGGTGAGAACCAGACAGGTGCTTGTCTAGGAGGAATTAGGACGGGCCTGGAGTGAGGGCAAAGCAAGGCCTTACTGGCAAGTCCTAAGTAAGCATGAGGCCCCTGACAGTCTACTTCCTCCTGACTACTGCCCACCTGGCCCCAGACTGTTTTCACTTTTCCCTGGTTGGCACTGCTGCTCTTTCTCCACTAAAGTCCCTTCTTCACCCAGCAGTGAGGCTGACATTTTGAAAATGTAAATCAGATCATGTCCCCTCCCCCGACACACACACCCCTAAAACACTCTAAGGGCTTCCCCTTGTGCTTATGGCAATATTATAATAATGACAGCTGCCACACTGCTTGTTAGGTGCCAGGCACTGTTCTAAGAACTTCATTTACAATAACTCATTTAATTCTCACAATATCTCTATAAGACGAATACTGTTATTGTCATCCCCATTTTACAGACAAGAAAATGGAGGCACAGAGATTCAGTCAATTGCCAGAATCCTCGGGGACTACAATCCATGTTCTTTATCATCCCCAGGTCTTTGCAGGGCTGCCTCTATCTTATCAGTTGGGTCCTAGAGCAACGGTCACCTTCTCAGAGAGGTCTTCCCAGATCATCCAAGTCATAGTGCCTTCCCTTTTCCAGCACAACATCCTGTTTTGTTTTCACATCACTTACCATCTTATTAAATTAGCTATTTAATTGCTTAACATACTGGCTTGTTTCTGTCCTGGCCCCATCCTCCACCCAGGTGTCAGCTCTCTGACAGCAGGGACCAGGACTCCCTCGTTCACCTTTGTACTCCAGCACCTGGAACAGGTGGATAGCACTTCAATAAACATTTGTTAAAATGGAGGCAAGAGTAGAGGGAAGAAGGATGGGAGGGAAGAGGAGATAAGGCCTGAGCCTCCCTCCCAGGACCAGAATGAGGATGGGTCCTGGAGGAAGAGAGAATGGGGGTCAGAGAGGAAGGGAGACCCTGGAGAGGAGCCCAGGGCCCTGGGACTCCTCCTGGTGCAGCCAAGCCAGGCCCTTCGCTCAGCTGGGAGCACGTTCCCCTGACTGGGGTTGTCAGATTCAGCAAATAAATGCTCAGTTAAATTAGAATTTTAGATAATCAGGGAATAAATCTTAATATAAGTATGTCATATACAATATTTGGGATGTACTTATATTAAACGATGTTTGCTACTCATGTGAAATTTAAATTTCCCTGGCATCCTGTACTTTGTCCGGTGGCCCTCTCCTGGACCCTCCCTCTGCGCTAAGTGCTACGTGAGACTACTGAGCACCAGCCTGCTTTTTCAATGTGGAACATTTTGTTTTTATCTTGAAATAAGGAAGTGCAGTCTCTTTGGTGATTTAACAGAAGGAGAATATCTGTGGCAACAGCCGCTTGTTAGAAGAGATTGGCTCCCAGGGTGGATAAATACCACAGGGGAGGCAAGGCAGATGCCTTGCCCTGACTCAGGGAGGGCCTGCAGTCCTGCTTGTGCCCTGTGACTTTGCTTCCCAGGTCCAAGGTGCATCTGAGTGGACACTGTGAAAGAGAACAGGAACGGAACTGCTCCACCTGGGAGGAAAAGATTTATGGGAACATGGGTTTATTCATCCATTGGGTCTCACTAGGCAGCTGGTGGCAGGAACTCAGAGGTGGATAGGATTGAGTGCTGCTCTGGAGGCTATCCAGACTCAGGGAGAGGACTCTGGGTCTTTGGACCAGCAACGGCTGCCTGCTCCCAGATCTGTCTTCTTGATTCAAGGGGAAGGGTACATTTCTTTCTTTTCTCCCCTCTTTTTCCTTTCCCATTTTTCCTTTTCTCCTCTTCTCTCATCTACTAGCCCTTTGTCACGTTAAACCTAATTACTTTGTAATCAACTAGGACCATAACGGAACAAATAACTACTGGTGCACTCTGGTGGGGCACAGAGTATCATTGCCCAGATTATACAAACAGGGCCTCTGGACTTTAAAGGTGTGCTTTTCTTTTATCAAATTGAAATTTTACCAATACCTTTGTCTCTCCAAACCCATCCCACTATCTCAGCATCCAGATCTAGGTAGGCAAAACCATCTGACTCAGCCAGGAGTTCATTTGCACACCTTTTTCTGATTGGGGGATACAAATCCACTGTAGCCTCCATCCTTCCCTGCCCTTCCCCACCTTCCTGTTAAAGCCCCACTAGGTCCAGCATCCTGGGATCCTCAGACCTCTGCCTTGCTGCCTGTCTGTTCAATTATTCCTTGATAAAATGTCAATGGGTCATCCCTTCTGATTTGTGGTTGATCAAGGATCAAGGATGGACATTGCCACTGACAAACTGTGATTTTGAATGAGTTCCTTTGCCTCTCTGAGGCTCAAAGACGATGTCTATAAAATGGGAATACTTCTCATAATGAAGGCCTTATGAGACCATTCTGTAGTGGTTAATGTGGACTCTTGGGCTAGACTACTCAAGTTCAAATCCTCCCTCTTTCACTTTATAGCAGAGTGCACTAAACAAGTTTCCCGTTTACTTCTCTTCTCTGATTTGGTTGGAGTGGGTCTGAAATAAGTTAATATGTGTAAAAATACCTAGAACAAAGCGTTGCCTACAAGTGCCTAGTAAATGTCAGCTATTATTATAATGGATATTAAAGTCCTTTGTCCAACTGCTATTACTATTATTATTATTGCCCAGTGAGTGTTTGGGAAAAATCAGTTGAGTGCAGGTCTGGCTCAGGGGCCACAGGCTCATAATGAAAAGAGGCCAAACGAATGGAACCTTAACCTCTCTGAGCCTCAGTGTCTTTGTCTATAAAATGGCAATAACAACCCACCTCTGCCTGCTTCATAAGGAAGAGTGAGTGCCAATGGTCGGCACTTAGAAAAGAAACTGTTGAATGAATGAATGCATGGATCATGAGGGGTGGCAATGGCAAGGTGCCCTAGGCAACGGAACTGTGCTGGCCTGCTGCCCATGAGACCTCACACAGTAGAGACCCACCTAGGGCAAAGGATGAGCGCTGAGTTGAGCAGACAGGCTGGGTGGGTTGCTGGTCAGCTCTTTGTATTAGGATAATAGGTACTCTGATCCTAGGTGAGAGTGGAAATGTGTTGGTACAGTTCTTTTTGGAAAAACACGTAGTGCTAGCTAGCACAGTTTAAAAGTATAAACAAATTAACCTGGCAGTTTCATCTACAGGAAGTCATCCACCAGATATCTTGGCTCAAGTGTGTCAAGATTTGTAAGTGTGCTCTCTGCAAGTCTTTGCAATAGTGAAAAATTGGAAACAATCTAGACGTCCCTCAGTATGGGAGTGGACAGAAGAAATTGTGGTGTATCTATATTACGGACTACACAGCCATTAAAAAGAATGAAGTAAAGCTGTATGTGTTAACATCCAGAGGCCTTAAGATGTATGAGTATGGTTAAGTGAACAAACAGAGAAACTCAACTTGACAGAGCTATGCATTTAATATAATATCTGTGGAATAGAACCTTATCTATGTATCTGCATAGGAAGTATCTGGAAAGCTACATGAAGTTAAGGCGGTTAAGAAAGAGAAGAAATTTTAATTTTAAATTAAAATTTTAATTTGATAAAAGAAAAGCACACCTTTAAAGTCCCGAGGCCCTGTATGTATAATTTGGGCAATGATACTCTGTGACTCAAGAAAACCCTATTCAATTTTTAAAAAATTTTTATTCATTTATTTTCAGAGAGAGAAAGCGAGGGAGAGCAACACTGATATGTGAGAGATATATGATGGGTTGCCTCTCGCATGCCCCCCACCCCCAACTGGGGACCTGGCCGGCAGGCAACATAGACTAAAGTGCCCTGACTGGGAATCAAACCCATAACCCTCTGGTTAAAGTGCCCTGACTGGGAATCAAACCATAACCCTCTGGTTCACATGCCGGCACACACACCAGCCAGGGCTCAATTTTTTGAGCAGATTTCTTTTATGTAAACTGACAATGATAATGCCTACCTCCCAATATCGTGATAGGATTAGTTGAAATAATAGACATGGAAACCTCTGCTTAGGGCGGGGACAGATGATTATAGCAATCAGGGAGGGCAACTTAAAGAAGACATTAGCCTAGACCTTGAAAGATTTGGTAAGGTATGGATTTGGTTTGATACCTGGCTGTTTTTTTTTTTTTTTTACCAACATTCAACATACAGTTGTTTATTTAAGGGTCTGATACGAAACCGGATATGGACCTTTAACCGCTCGTCCTCCGCTACAAAAGGTGAAGATACCGGGCGCGTGCGCAGTAATAGCATCTTTGGCTGCGCTCTGCCCACGTACTACAATTCCCGGCAGGCTCCGCGCACGCAGCCCGTGCGTCGCCGACTTGCTGCTCTAACGCAGTAGCGCGGGGAATTTCGAGTGGCAGTGGTGTGCGGGAGGTCAGTGGGCAATGGAGCCCCCGGGAGTAGCCATGAACTCTGTAGTCGAACCTCGGTGGCCTCCGGGCCTGGAAGTCTTGAAGGTGAGTGCTTCGGGATGGTCGGGGATGCCCAGGTGTCGGCGGGAAACCGGCCCCGCCTTCAGAGGACCCGGCGCCGGCGGCCGGCTCGGCCCCGGGTGCCCCGGGCTCTGCTCTGCAACTTACTACCCGCGTGTCTCTGGGCCGCAGTTTCCTGGGGCCTCGGTCCCTTACGGTGAACTGAGGTTGGCGGTCTTATTGAACCGGCTGTTCTGCAGTTTAGCCACAACAACAACAATGACCTAGAGAAAAAAAGTTACCCTGAACGGTGAAAAGGACGGGGACAACTAACCCCTTCTAAGGGTTTACTATGTGCCAAGTGTTATGTAAACGCTCGCAGCACATTAGTCGAGAATTTCCCAGAGTGTCACCGGACATGGTTTTGGGTAGACCTTGCATCAAAAAAAGCCATTTATTTGCTCACCTAGCGAAGCATATGGTTTCCTTTACATTCTGTTATGTTTGTTCTAATTATCCTCAGTAAGCCTAGTGCCGGTTTGCTCTCCTTCCTAAGTGTCCTAACTCCTAACAGTTGTGCATGTCTCCCTTTTAAACAAAGACATCAGGACTCTCTTAAGGCACAGCAGTAGCCAGCCTTTTATTTAATTGAATTACTTCGTTTGAATAACGTGGACTTGGAGGCCACTTTGGTTTTTGGCAAGGCGTTTCAGTTTCCATTTAACAGTAGCAGTGAGCCCTGTATTCCAGCTGTATTTGGTGAAGAGCAAATACATTTTGCTGTGCTAAGAGTCAGTTGCTCGGTTTTCCTCCTTGCAATGTGATCATTTCAGTTTTGTGGGCAAGATCGCGTTTTCATTCTCTTCCTCAGTTGTGTAAGCTTGGGGATTATGGTCTCTGCCCCACTGACTCAGAAGGCTGACTTTGAGGATTAAGCGAAGGGACTTGTGGGAAGTTAAAGTATGAGACCTTATTCTCCTTGACATCATCACTGTCATCTGCAGTTCTTGGGGACTTGAGATACAGCCCTATGGTGACAGCTGACATTGTGGAATGGATCGAGGAAAGTGTGGTTTTGAACTTGTGGTGACCTTGGCAGTGGAGAAGAGCATAGATGATCCCAGGTTAAATCTGGTCTCCGCCTCTCATTTACCTGTGTGACCTTCAGTTAGTTACTAAAACTCTCTGAGCATGAATTTCCTCAACTATAAACTGGAAGCAAAGAGAAACTGTATAGGGTTGGTTAAATGAGTTGGTGTGTATGGACAGGGATCCTGTCTGACTCACTGTACTTAACACAATGCGTGGCACATGGTGGGTGCTCAAATTATTTGCCAGTTGATTGGAGGTATCTGGAAGGTATTCAAGTGTTATATCTTATTATTAGCATGTAACACATGTTAACTTTTCAGCTCCTTTTTATTTGCTGTTGTGAAGGTTGAATTGGAGAAAGGAAGCGAAAGCTCTGTAACTTGTAAAGCTACCTGTTTGTAGACCTGGGCATATTTTATATATTCTTACAACTCCCGCAGTGTCCTTTAGAGGCAGGTTCCATGTCTTCTGTGGCTTTGATATCTCACCACAGCACTGAACTGAGGATCCCGCACCAGGGAGTGTTCAGTGGTAGAGTTGACTGAACTCATATTAGAATCATGAAATTGTAAGGTTGGAAAGCCAGCCCCCTCCTCTGTTTTAATCCCTTTTATAATGTATTCTGCCAACTTCTCATGTAGTGTTTCCTTGAATTCCTCCAGGAACAAATACAGGGTCCAGCACAAATAACACCCCTTTTTTTATGACAAAATCTTTTATTACAAAATCATCAGCATGTAGTTCTGTAACATAACAGTATCACATTCAAGCACACCATATGACATTTTAGGTGAAATGTTCAAATAAAACTATAAACTATTACACCCATGTTATTACCCTACCAGCCACACTCAAGCAAGACTTACTTCTCCTGGACCCTTATTAACTGCTCCCAGAAGGAGCTCTGTTTGAAGTTCTTTCTTATATTGAATAGAAATCTGACGCCAGATCTATGGTTAATCTAGTGCCTGTGGCACTAGACACTTTGGTGTCTGAATTATTTATAAAATCTTTGTCTGTATGCTTATCTGAGAAGAGAGTCCATAGTTTTCATCCATTTTTTTCAAAGGAATCTGTGACCCCAAAAACTCAAGAACTTTTGCTTTCTTTATTGTCTTCACCCATTCCCCACTTCTCCCTCCCACTAAAGAAATCCTGGGGCACCCACCTGACCACTCCCTGTTTGGGTTGACAGGCACGTGTGGTGTGCATTACTATCTTGAGATGGCATGACTGGAAATTCCTTCAAGAATGTTATAGCCTATCCGCTGTGGTGTCACCTTCCACAGATCTCTGTCAGCAGATGGGTCAGAACCACTCCTCCACCAGAAGAGGATGGTTGTATTGAAGGAAGTACAAGACACTAGATGCCAGGACTCCGGCTTCCAGCTCCGCCTCTGCTCTTAATTGATTTTCAACACAATCCTCTCATCTTTTGTGTCAGTGGTAGCTTATCATGCAAAGTAATGGAAGAGCCCTGGCTGGTGGGGCTTAGTTTGCTGGGCGTTGTTCTGCAGAACAAAAGGCCACTTCATCCCACTCAGGGCATGTGCCTGGGTTGTGGGTTCAGCCCCCAGTGGCAGTCAAGTGATGTTTCTCACACGGATGTTTCTCTCCAGCTTTCTCCCTCCCTTCCCCTTCTCTCTAAAAATAAATTTTTAAAATCTTAAAAAATAATGGAAGATTTTTGTTTTTTTTAATGTTTATTTCCCTGGTTTAACCATAACAAAAATTTCTAGCTTTGACAGTTTATAAATGTATGTGAATATGGTAGAAAAAAACATTAAAATTCAGGGTAAGAGAAAGGAGTAAGTGAAAGTTGCCCATTAACCTCTTATCCTGAGATAACCACTGTTTGACACTTTCTCTCATTTCCTTCCTACACCGTGTGTGCTAATGCACGAGTGTATCTTCAGTGAGTACAGGCACTTAAGATTTGGGACCACTTTGTAGTCAATTTCTTGAGTTTGACCCAACCACTTTTAAGCTCTGTAGTCTAGTCTATAAACTGGGGTACAGATGCTGTAGACTTTATAGGATTGCTATGGATTAAACTAAATGGTTCTGTTATTAGGTATTGTTGTAGATTTGTTCTCTGGTTTTTTTTGAAAGTTTCCATTAAAACAAGAACATTTTCCCATGGCACTTTTGTGTGAAAGCACTTTTTAAAATGGCTACATAATATTTCATCATAGGGACTGTTAAATGACATTAGTCTTTTTTTGTTTGTGTTTTAAAATTTAGGTAATATGCTCATATGGTTCAAAAAATACATGAAATTAAAAGCAAAAGTCTGCCTCCCAACTTTGTCCCTTTTGTAACCTCTGTGACCATTATTTATTACTTTCTTAGTTTTCTTGTCAGGGTGCCTTTATACCTGTGTATATACAAGATAAAAATATAATACACTCTTATTTCCTCTCCTTTTAAGCAAAAGGTAGCCTACCATATGTACTGTCTTTTTTCACTTGTTTCGGCAATCTTTTCTTATCAGTGCATAAGAGAACCACCTCTTTTTTGTCTTCTCCTAAATATCTTCTCAGTGTTCTGTGGAACAGAATAACATTTTACTTTAAATGATTGAAAAGGTGTGGGGCTGTGAGAATAGGTCCTTCCCTGTCCAGTTGCCTTCCAGGTTGGCACACATCTGTCTGACTTTCCAGATTGTCCTCTTCAGCCCTGTGCTGTCACTGGCTCCGGTCTCAGCAGGGCTGCTGCCTCTGGCTGCACTGGAGAACCACGCAGGAGTCTGGAGGGAGACAGGAAGTTTAGTCCTGGCTGGACTCATGCCCCACATGTTCCTGCTCTGGATACATGTTTCCTCATTCGTGAAGTAGCGGTTTTAATTAGATAATTTCTAATGCTTGGCTGTAATATTCTCTGATTTGGTTTTTAACCTGTTTGCTGACTGGCTACTGGTACCCTTCACCTAGCAGTGACTGTGGGCCAGGGGATGGGGTCTGAAGAGGAGGCGGCTTGGAGTAAGAGCTGGAAACACTTGGGAAGTGGAACAGGAACAGAGTAGCCCTTTTGTGAAGGGGTAACAATGTTGCATAGGAATCTACACAGTGTCAGCTTTATGTGTCTAAAGTGTTCCCGGTAACCTGAGATTTGAATGTGTAAGGAGTCATATGGGGGAGGTTTTCCTCTATTCATTAAGGCCCCCTGCAGTATAAGTGGAGTTTGCATTTGAGTTTGTGTATTTGAGAAAAGTATCATTAAATTATTATTCTTTTTAGGGTATGGAGAAAGAGTTCTGTGCCAGACATTTTGATCTTGGTACCTTTCTGATATGTGTGCATGTGTGTTTACGTTTCAGACAGTAGACGATTTGCTGCGGTGCGGAATTTGCTTTGAATATTTCAACATCGCCATGATGATTCCTCAGTGCTCACATAACTGTAAGTACTGCTGTTTCCGTAAACTAGTAAAAATATGATTTTTATGTGAGGTGGTATTAATTCGATACCAGAGATAAGTACACATTTATTTCTACTTTTAGCTGCATCTCGAAGTTTTCAGAAGGTCTTTTCCATCATTTCCTCTTAAATACTGAAGTTTTTACAGAGGCTCTTATATTTTCTACCACCCTCTTTTGGATTTTTTTTTTTTTGTCTTCTATAACATTTACAGCAATAACGATTCTGGTCATAATATGTGTTTTTTTATTTGCCAACCACTTTTAGATGTCAAATTTCAGAATTTTTGTTTTTAGCAGGATAACAGATAGGTGGTTCAACTAAGTAGTAGTTTGTATAGAGTTTCAGAGTATAAAAATCCCAGTGGAGGAATTGTACCACTGGAGTCTTACTGTTTTATCACTGAACTAACTGGACAGACTCTTATATTGGAATCTTCTAGTACTTTTCTTTCTGAGTCTAGTATGGAAGTACTTTTTATACTTGAGGCATTTAACACGTAGGGGTGAGCCTGTCCTTGTTCAGGAGCTGGCTATCTAGTATATGGATTATCTGAGTTCATGATCTTTCGGCCTCTATTTTCTTTTTTGTGAGAGAGAGGAGAAGAGAGGGAGAAAAACATTGATGTGAGGAAAAAACATTGGTTGGTTGCCTCTTCTATGTGACCAAACTCGCAACCCAGGCATGTGCCCTGACTGGGGATCCAACCTGTGAACTTTCCCTTTTCAGGATGGTGCCCAACAAACTGAGCAACACTGGTCAGGGCTCTGTTCTCTATTTTCAGGTTGATTTTTCTTGGAAAGTTAGAAAAACCCAACAACTTTGACTTAAAAAAATGTTTTTGGTGGGCAGTAAGCTTTGGTGGAAGAGTTTCCATAAGGAAGATGTAAGAGAACGGTGGTCATTAGACATGGTCATCAGAGATGCACTTGGGCTTGACCCTTGCACTTCCCACTTAGTAGGCTGATGAGTGTGCCGATGCCCAGTATTTTTTCAAAGGTAAAAATTTGGTGAGCAGTTGTACCTTAGCCAGTGGTCATGAGAATTGAATGTGCAGGGTCCACTGTCTGGCCCTCAGTAAATGTTCATTTCCTTTCTAGACCAGATTCTTTTTGTTGTTTTTGTTGTTGTTGAGTGTTTATTTCTTCCTTCTGGTCCAAATTGTTGATTCGTGTCCCAGTTTTATTCCTTTCACTATTGGTTCCCGGTGTATTTTTATTTCACTTTGCATAGCCTTCATTTTTTCCTGTACTTGGTGACCATGCCCAACCATTTCTGTGAGCATCCTGATTACTAGTGTTTTGAACTCTGCACCTGATAGGTTGGCTGTCTTTTCATGGCTTAGTTGTATTTTTGGAGCTTTGATCTGTTCTTTCATTTAGGCCATATTTTTTTTTTGTCTCAGTGCTTGTTACCTTATAAGGGGTGGAGCCTTAGATATTTGCCAGGGTGGGGTGACACCTCTCTGTGTTGTGGAGGAGTGGTCAGAGAGGGAACAGTGTTACTTGCTCGGCTCATGGCTGGCTTTCAGTCATTTCCACTGCTCCCCACAAGCAAATTGGGCCTTTCTGGTGCTGATTCCAGGTGGGTGGGTTTGTTGTGTACATTCTACATAACCCTGTGGGTCTCCAACGAACTTTCCTGTGAGACTGGGAGTTTTTTTCTTTTTTTCACTTTTTAAAAAATATATATTTTATTGATTATGCTGTTACAGTTGTCCCATTCCCCCCCCCCTTTATTCCCCTGTGCCCTGTGCATCGCTCCCACCCACATTCCCCCCTTTAGTTCATGTCCTTGGGTCATATATATAAGTTCTTTGGCTTCTACATCTCCCATACTATTCTTACCCTCCTCCTGTCTATCTACCTACCATTTCTGCTGCTTATTCTCTGTACCTTTTCCCCCTCTTTCCTCACCCACTCCCCCACTGATAACCCTCCATTAGATGTCCATTTCTGTGATTCTGTTCCTGTTCTAGTTGTTTGCTTAGTTTGTTTTTGTTTTAGGTTTGGTTGTTAATAACTGTGAGTTTGTTGTCATTTTACTGTTCATATTTTTCATCTTCTTTCTTTTAGATAAGTTCCTTTAACATTTCAATAAGGGCTTGGTGATAGTGGACTCCTTTAACTTGACCTTATCTGAGAAGCACTTTATCTGCCCTTCCATTCTAAATGATAGCTTTCCTGGATAGAGTAATCTTGGATGTAGATTCTTGTCTAGGCCAGATTCTTATTAATAACCACGATAAGTTTGGGGAATTGTTTCTAAATGTGTGCTATCTTTATTTAGGTATGACTTATATAAAATAGAATACATCCATTTTAAGTGCCCAGGGGAGTGTCCAGGTGTTAGTGAGTTTTGAAAACTGCATATACCATGTGACTGCTACAGTTGGGTACTGGACATCCCTACCACCTGATCAAGTTCTCCTCCCCATCCCAGTCAGTATGGCTGCAGGCAATCATGTGTAGGTCTGTTACTGGCTTCTTTTCTGTTCCATTGATCTATGTGTCTATTCTTGTGCCAGTACCACCTTGTCCTAATTTAGTAAGTCTTGAAGTCAGGCATTGTAAATACTTCAACTTTGTTTTTATCAAAATTTTGGGAGTACTTTCAGGATCATTGCATTTTACATGCATTTCCCTATGAACTTTAGAATCAGATTGCAAATTTCTACAAAAATAGCTACTGAGATGTGCATTGGGATTGTAGTGAACCTAGAACTCAAACTGGGGAGAATTGACATCTTAATAGTGTTGAGTCTTCAGTATAGGAACATGGTAATTTCTTCCATTTTTTAGCTTTTATTTAATTTCTCTCAGCAACGTTGTTTAGTCTTCAGTGCACAGGTCTTGCACATAGAAATACAGTTTTTTTATTTTAACCTTTTACCTTTTGATCTTGTTAAATTCACTTTTTTTATCCTCACCCGAGGACATTTTTTCCATTGCTCTTAGAGAGGAGAGGAGAGAAGCATTGATGCAAGAAAGGTGCATCGACTGGTTGCCTCCTGTATGCTCCTGGACTGGGGATCGGCACCCAAGCTGGGGATCTTCGGTGTCGGACCAGGGACGGAACTCGCAGCCTTTTGGCTACGGGACGATGCCCCAACCAGCAGAGGCATGTCAGCCAGGGCACGGCATTCACTTCTTAATTCCAGCATCTATTCTGCTGATTACTTAGGAATTTTTACATGTACATTCATGTCATCTGTGAATCAAAACAGTTTTATTTCTTCCTTTTTAATCTGTATGCCTAATATTTCTTGTTGCACAGGCTGGTGCCTCTGGTGCAATGTTAGGTAGAAGTGGTGTGGGTGGACATCCTCTCCTTATTCCCAGTTTTATGGGGAAAGCATTCAGATTTTGTGTTAGTTACACGTTTTATCATGTCCTGAGTACATTTTCTAAATTTGTCAATTCAAGGAAGTTCTCTATGCTCTTAATTAGCTGAGAGGGGTTTTTTTGTTTGTTTTGTTTTTTAATGAATGGGTGTTGAATTTTGTCAAGTTTGTTTTCTGCACCTATAGAGATCCTCATGTGATTTACTTCCTTTATTATATAATATGATTAATTACACTGATTGACTTTCGAATGTTAAAACAACTTTGAATTCCTTTTAAGAAATTTTTCCACTTAATATAAGCTGTTGGGTTTATTGGCATTGAGTTTTTAATACTCTTCCTAATTGTCCTTTTCATATTTTTATTATTCCCTTTCTTTTACTTATTTGAATTTAGTTTGCTCTTATATCTCTAGGTGAAGTTAGAAGCTTAGATCGTTGATATTAGGTTTTTCTTCTTTTCTAATGCAAGCATTTAAAATTGTAAATTTCCCTCTGAACCCTGCTTTAGCTGCATTCCACACATTTTGTTATGTTTTCATTTTTATTCAGTTTAAAATATATTCTAAATATAAAGATTTAAATTTCTTCTGAATATGTGATTTCTTCTTGGTCATGAGTTATTTAGAAGCCTGTTCTAAATATTTGGGAGTTTTCCTGATATCTTTCTATTACTATGTTCTGGTCAGGGAACATAATCTTTTTTATTTCAGTTCTTTAAGCATTTTCTAGTTAAAAAAAAAAAGAAATGAGACTAGCTTATGACACAGCATATAGTATTTCTTGGTTAATGTCTCATGTACATTTGAAAAGAATATCTATTAAATATCAACTAGGTCAAATTGATAGTGCTATGAAGTCTTCTGTATCTTTAGAGTCTTTCTCTACAATATGGAGAGAGGAGTGTTGAAATCTCCAGCTATAATTGTGGACTTGTTTATTTCACGTCTATCCCTTTTTGCCCTATGTATTTTGAAGTGCTTTTATTAGGTGCGTACATATTTATGATTATTTTGTCTACTTGATGAATTTACTGTTTCGTTATCATCAAATGGCCCTCTTCTGGCAATATTCTTTGCACTGAAGTCTACTTTTTCCTGATATTAACGTAGCCACTCTCACTTCATTAACTGACAAGTGAGAGTCTTTGCATGGTTTAACTTTTTCCATCTTTTACTTCTGACTTGTGTGTGTCCTTATATTTAAATTGAGCTTTTTATAGACAACATATATTTGTCTATAATGCCCTGTAATGCAGTTTGACAATATCTGTTTTTACTTGGAATATTTAGACCTACATTGTTTAGTACTGTAAATGCTAGCTACACAGTTATTTACATTTTAGTTAAAATTAATTAAAGTTAAGTTAAAATTAAAACTACTTTCTCAGTTCCACCTCCCACAAATTTTACAGGCTGTTTTCATTTAAGGAAAGACCTTCACCAGTCAGCCCAGCTAGGGATTCTGGGGGTGTCTTAAACCTTTTCTGTGGCCCTGGTGGGTGTGGCTTGGTTGGTTGGGGCACCATCTCATGCACTGAGGAATTTAGGGTTCAATTACTGGTTGGAGCACGTGCCTGGTTTGAGGTTTCAATCCCCAGCTGTGGCTCATGCCAGAGGCAGCCAGTCAATGCTCGCTCC